TCCTTTAAAAAAATATAGGTCAAGGCATTTGCAGTCCAAAACTAACAGTTTTTATTCCTCACAAGTATAGATCAAAGTGGATTGAGAGTGATAGCTTCAGACCGTTTTGATTCCTCACAAAAGTATCGATCAAAATAGTTTGAAACTAATTGTTCTCAATTAAGGGTAAATTTGAAAAAAAAAAAACACAAGAAGAAGAAGATGTGAATTAAAATACATGAAACATTTTCCAAATACCACTAGTCATAAGAGATATCAACCAGCTTATGTTCCTTTTCGTTTGAAGTATTAGACTTGGTATTTTAGACTCATACTTATGGTATTCTCCTCAAATTGAGGTTTACTTTTAGGGTGCGGTTTTCCATAAGGTTGCAACCTTAAACAATCCAATTAAGGAGCACCTTCAAATTTTATCATAATATATAATTTTGATATAAAATGTTTTTAGGATTATCTCAAAATCTATGTTTATATCTAATTATAAAATTTTAAATTCAAAAAATGGTTAAATTCAAGTAAATCTATAAACTTATGAAAATCTTGAAAATGGACGGTATAGATAATATGTTGTAAGATGCACTATTTTTTAGAATCAAAATCTTTTTATTTTCAAAATCATACATTTCGATGTCGAGATGATCAATCATAGGGTTTTTCAACATTAAAATAACCTTTTTCGATGGATTTTTGAGGAACCATCTATAATTCTACATGTTAAAGTTGCAACCTTGCATAGACATTTTCCTTACTAGGTGCGGTTCAATCCAATTAAAGTGCACCTTCAAATTTTATAATAATATATAATCCGTACTTCTACGTGTCAATGTTACAATCTTGTATAAACTTTATCCTTACTTTTATCATGCCTACAACTCCTCATCTTTTTCTTCTTGCTCTTTTTTTTGGTCAACGCGCCTATTTCTAAATGGGAACATAAATAGTTGAAAAGGCATTTAAGTCGTCATTTGAGGATCTCATGGGTGGCAACGGGTCACGTCTGAATTGATCCGA